GTTACAATAAATCGTGTCAAGAAAAATCACAAAACTACACTGAAAAATCAATGCAGGACCTTAAGGTTAACGCTATATACATTCATCCGGTCATACAATCAAAATCAAACAAATAAGCATCTGATAACTCTTTCGTTTTTTTTTTTTTTTTTAGATTTCGATTTTGGGTGGAGGGAGAGTGAATAATGCGACGGAATTAGAGAGTGAATAAACATCAACCAGATCAATTTCTGTAAATTCTTTGTTTCTATTAACTATTTAATCAATCCTCTCGACTTTGTATGTATAATTATTCACCTCATCGAATAATTATTTACAATTTTGATCAATCAAATCGAATGTAAAACCTCAAATAAATAAATAAATAAAAATCCAAATTAATTCCGAACCCCCAAAAAAAATCAGCGCGGGGCAAGTGAAACAGTGATGTCGATAGGCACGCCCATCTTCTCCGCCCAACTATGCGACTCCAGAAACAGCTTCGAAACCAAACCGGCTACCCGATCCATATCCGGCCGCCTATCCGGATCCTCTTCCACACACTCCAACGCCACCTGCACCATTTTCTCCGCCACATCCATCGGAAACGAGTCCTTCAGCCTCCTATCCACCCACCTCCTTACCCCGCCACGTCCCCCACCCCTCACCGCCTCCCTCGCAGACTCAATCACACTCACCCTCCTATACACGCCTTCGGCGCCATTTTCGTCCATTATGTACTTCAGCGGTTCCGTCCCGGAGATCAGCTCCAATAGCACGACCCCAAAAGCGTAGACATCGCACTTCTGGGTCACGATTCCGGTGAGCTGAAACTCCGGCGCCATGTACCCGCGCGTGCCCTCCAGTTTCGTCGACCGAGCCTGGGTCTCGCCGCAGAGTTCCGCCGTGCCGAAATGGCAGATTTTGGCGCCGAGCACGAGGTTGTCCTCCTCGGAGACGATGATGCTGGAGCTCTTGATGTGGTTGTGGACGAAGGTTGAGTCGAGGCCTGAGCCGTGGTGCATGTAATCGAGGCCGTGGGCGAGGTCGGTGGCGATCTGCATCCGGGAGAGCCACGACGATAGGACGGTATAGCTCGGGTTCTTCGGGTTGCGGAGGCAGTCGGCGAGGCTGGCGCCGGCGACGAATTCGTAGACGATGTAGACGTAGCTCCCGGAGAGGGAGGCGCCGAGGAGCTTGATGAGGCTGGAGTGGTGGGATTTGGAGATGAGGGAGAGGCGGCGCTGGAGGTCGGGGAGGGAGATGGGGATGCGGGATTTGCGCTGGAAGATGACGGCGTCCTTGGATCGAAGGGAGCAGCGCCAGGAGGAGGAGGTGGAGGAGGAGGAGAGGCGGCCGCGGGGGAGGAAGTTGGAGGTGGCGGAGCGGATCTCGGAGAAGTCGTAGATTTGGGGGTTTTCAGGGAGGGAGGCTTTGAAGGATCTGAGGGAGGGGACGGAGGAGGAGGTGGAGGATTTGGAGAAGTTGTAGCTGGAGTTGTTGTCGTTGGTGCTGAAATGGGCGAAGGAGGGGTCGCGGACAGAGGAGGAGGATTGTCGGTGTTGATTGGGGCTCTTGGGCTCAATCGCCTGCGTGCTCTTTTTGGTCCTGCACATAGGGGCGGCGCCGCTGGAGGAGGAGGTGGCGGGGGCAGCGGCGACAATCATAGCAGAATTGGGATTGGAAGAAGAAACGGAGCTGTGGAATTTTGGGGGGTTTAGAATTAAGGGGAATGGGCAACTGAGTTAGGTCGTTGTCATCGACGACCTAAGAACACGGAAGAAATTTTACGAAAGCGATGGAACTGCAAGAAAGAAGCCAAGCACTGGTTTGTCATCGATATATAATTTAATTACATCACAATTAAATATGTACCAAGATTCACGTTATTGACAAAGAATATAAGTGTTGTGCACAAAAATATAGGAGGAGGACTGTTTACTCCTCCTATTTTCATACTTTTTTTTTCATGCATTTTTGTGACGTGTGATTACAAGTTATGTTATGTTAATATTTTATATTAATTTTTTATAAAAATAATAAAATAAAAATATAAAATATTAATATAATTTAATCATGATCACACAAACAAAAAAATATACGTATGGAAATAGAAGGGCACCTCCAAAAATATATGGTGGGAGGGAGCAGTGTTCTGTAGAATGCCTTTGCGGTTGCTCGGGAAAAATGATATTTTAAAGGACAAATGATATCTGGTTAGGAGAATCTCTCGTACATTTGCCTACGATCGTAGCGATACTTTATTGGAAAATAACCTAAATGATTACTTTTTAATACTTAATTGCAAATGATCAACCATCTTATGTTATCGATCATACGTTATCGCTGTATGATCGATAGGTTTATGTTTATAAACAAAAATTATTTCTTTATCTTCGACAAGGGGATTGAAATCTAACATGCCACATTTTACTATTTTGGCAATGGTATAAAACCCGCAATTTACGAGATTTGAACTCTCACTTCAAAACCCGACATTTGGGTCAAGACGAGTCAAACTTGAAGAACATCAAAAAAAATAATCAAAGGGTACTGTTATTAGCATTCTAAAAATCTTATTTTGCATTCCTTATAAATGTACTATTTTTTCTAAAATAAAAAAAATTGGAGTGTAAACGAATTTAAGAATGCTAATAACAATTTTATAATGAATACTGTTTTTTGTTTTCCTTTCTTTCTAATAAACAATTACTGATATTAATTAACCTTTTTTAGGAATAAAATAAAAAATAAAAGTGGAGGCAGAATTTATTTTCAGTGTGGACACGTTGTGTTCCGACTCGTATTCCTTAATCTCTCCCCAGCATGCACGCAAGAGGGCGGAAGAAAATGGAGCCAAAAACATGGGCCTACCCTACAGCCGCGGAGAAACGGAGAATTCTATAGAAGTGTCTGGTCTCTAGTAATAAACTATGGTCTATCTTTTTAATTCAACCAAACCAAACTTCTGCAATTCAATAGTATTCATCTTTATTTTTAAATTAGTCTCTTCGTACGCACTCACGTGAGGTCTTTTTTAATCACGGGTTCTACGCGGCCCTTAAGATGTGTTGTGGTAGTTATTTCTTTCTCATATGGCATCCTAAAAATAAAATACAACATATAATTACAAAAAAAAAAGGTATTGAAATATAATTAAGTTGGGTGTAAAATGTGTGATAAAATAAGGACTCCTTCTATGCGGAAGCACATTCAAAGAGATTAGGAAAAAATAAAGGTAAAAATACTTCAAGGAATCAAATAATAATGTAAGAGAATGAATTAAACAATTAATCTATGACATTAAGTTGAAGAGTAAGAATTCATATATATATATATATATGTATTTTTTTTTTCTTACAGTACCACAAAATACACTGACTTTTATCACATTTGTTTGAACAATTTATATGATTAAAGATTGCTAAAGATGGAGTTGATAGGGTTTCTGGCTTCATAGTATGTTATCTATTATTTCTTGATGTATATATCTTACCCTTTCTGATTCCGTATGCAAACTGCTTTGTCAAATTTATGCTGCCACAATTGTAAGAACTCAATTTAAAAACAAACTCCATTTGAATGAAGCCACCTATTAAGAAATCAAATATTATTCTGATACACATAAACTATGGACTAACCAGGGTGTGAAGACTATTAGTTTTATCCACCAACAGCTCAATCTTCTCACCGCGATCAAGCTCCACGCTGTCACCTTCATCGCCTCTTTCTACGTAATGCGGTAAAATGCCCCAAGCACAGTAGATTTTTTATGGGATTTTACTGAAAAACTTGTTCCTGTGGAATTTCATGATCAGGGGATATGCCTGCAATGGATTTCCGTTCAAGTTTCTGGTTTTGTACCGTGAAATACTTACCCTTTTGTTCTCAAGACGTGCGGCGAGAAGTTGGTAGTAGAAATTTGGGAGGAAGGTTTCAGTTCATCGTAAGTTATTTGCAAAACCGAGTTGCTTCGTCGCAGAGATTATTCAACTCGAGCCGGAGTCGCATGCTCAACTCCACCAAATAAGGCTGTTGCTGCTCCGGAAATCGGGGTTTCACTGCCCACTGCAGCATGCTTCTGATCTCACCTCGATCGCTACCGTTTCAAAGCCGTGTCTGAATCCATCGATGGATTCCTTCCAGATTTTTTCCTCTATATTTTTAGCCGTAATTTAGACTTCAAATTCATTCTTCATAAGAGATGATGGAGAAAGAAATCAACGCCAAAAAGAGCAAGAGAATGGAAGAAGAGAAGAAAATAAAGAAAAATACTTAAGATTGAGACGATTGAGTTTTTGCGTGGTGGATGGTGGAAGAAAGAGAGAAACCGAACGCAACTGCTCATAGCAGTTCCAAACCAAACCACGTTCATTTTCTCTCTTGTGTAGTAATACTGGTTTTACTATTTTATCCTCATTTTCTGAACTTTTTTGGATTTTGATTGTGAAGGAAACAAAGTGTAATATTGGGTTTATTGAATGTTTCATCTATTTGGCCTTTTCACTTTATATATATATATAAATAATATATAATATAAAGAAGATAAGAGGTTTTAGGTTTGATTCTCGTCAAAAATAAATTTGAACCAAATTATCACTAGTTCGATACGAGTCTAAACCCACTTTTTAGTGTTGTAGATGATATCGATGAATTCTTGGGCGCGGAGTAACGGACCAAGTCACCGTAACAGCCAACTCCGTCGTCATCACGCACCCTTTGTGTCCGGAGCTTGTAAACGGGCGTCCGGAATGAACAACTGCACCAAAACGAGGACATACGAAACCCAAACTGTTATGCCTCAGTTTTTCAGGAAGCTATTGGTTGTGCAGTTTAAACCGCTATTAATTCTCGTGTCATAATATAGGAGAACGAATGCATTGACATCGCGAAATTGGAGTCTGAAATCGTCACCCAAATTATCATTTCTTGGATAAACAAGTCGCAGAAAACAATTGAGAACCGAGAAGCAAAATTAAACAAACACAACAACAACGGCATTCAGATAACAGCAAGAGAAATTTCGAAACTCCGAAAGGTTACGCTAATGAAATTGATTGGAGAAATAGCAGGGTTCTACAAGCATACAGCCAGAAAATTAAAGGATTAAAACACATTACATTTCCATTTTTTCATTTAGTTTCATGTAATTTCCTCAACTCTAACTCCAGAGAAAGAGCCATGGAAATTACCAAGTTAGGCATTGACATAAGCATTGAGAGCGTCACCAGTGAGCCTGCAAATCCTCCACTCCTGCAAAACCTTAGCCCCCATCTCCTCGTAAAACTTGATGGCATTGACGTTCCAGTCCAGCACCACCCACTCCACTCTGCCGTACCCCATCTTCACCGCCTGCTTCGCCACCGCTGAGAGCAGCATCTTCCCCAGCCCCTTCCTCCTATAGCACTCCCTCACAAACAGGTCCTCTATGTAAAACCCTGGCTTCCCCAAAAAGGTGGAGTAATTTGGGAAAAACAGCACAAACCCAGCAACGACAGCGTCCCCGCCGTTGGATCTGAACAAATCACGTTCTGGGTCGTCGATCGGGAGGTCCAGATTGTGGGTTTTGACGGTGGGTGGGTAGGCCGAGTTGTTGCACTGAAGGTGTTCGACGAAAGGCGTCTCAGAGACTTCGAGGACGAAGATGGTGAATGACTGGAAGGGAGGGGAGGTGAAGAGGGTGGACGAGAGGGAAGACTCGGTGGCGACGAAGAGGTCGGTGAGGTGCTCGAAGACGGCCATCTGGTGGATGAGCTTGTGGATGTGTGGGACGTCGGTGGGGTGGGCTAGGCGGATCCGAGAGAAGAGTGGGTAGCCCATTGGGGTGGAGCCTCGGGGTACGTCGTTGAAGCCCTCTGGGGCTGGGGTAGGTGGCGGTGGCGGTGCGGCGGCGGCCATGGTTGCGATTGAAGTTTGGTTTTTGCTTGCTTGCTTACCGAGCAGAGTTGGCTACAGTTTTCCAGCAAATGCGTGGGAAGGTATTAGGAGCAGGATCGGTTTTATAACGGAGGTTTTCAATCCTAACCGTTTGTAAAATCCACCGACATGATTGTCGCCACGTGTATTCTTAATAGGAAATACGGTGAAACTGGAAATTGTCAGTTTTGCTTGGATAATTGGATAAGATACGAAAAATTAGGGTCAATAAATTTGTGAATTGTTGATTTTAAGAAAAGTAAAAGTTTTAAATTCCCACGCAAGTTCCCAGTTGCAAACGTGTGAATAAAAATGTTGTAATTCTGAATTTGAGAAATTGAAAAACAAAAAATGTAAAACTGACGAGTGTCGTGTTTTAAAAAAAACGTTATAGTATATAAGAAGTCGGTCATTTGATTGACCAAAAGCCAGTAGTAGAGATAAAACTTTTCTTTGAGTGGTGTGGTCACTTTCAAATCTATATGCGATTTCGTTCTTGGTGAGAACATTTGTCTCTACACTTGAAATTCTGACTTTTTGTTCAATTAGCATTACTTGTATCATTTAACTATTGTCAAGATCATAAATAAAAATACTAGGATAAAATGTAAAAAAAAAAAATATTCAAGAGCAGTAACTAAGTGTAAACATTTTTTGGCCCCTAATCTATATGAAATATGTTTTCATAAGACACGTTTTGAATTCAATTTTTACCGTTGATGAATCATACCCGCCAATGGCAAGAGAGGCTGAAACTAGTCCCTTTTCTTATGATTAGTCGACAAAAAAGAAATCTATGGGAAACATGTCAAAATTTCTAATTCCCAATTGATTAACCCAACAATTACTAAAATTAGAAAATTATACGGCGGGAAGCCACGCTCTACTCACGCTCCTCCCTCAGCCTCCTCTGCTCGAACCGGTGGCGCACCGGCCCGTCCAATCTCCGACCCAAAATTATCCGAATTTGCCTCTCTTTTGATTCCAATTCCATACAATTACCGGAATCACAATCCCACTGGCCGACTCTCAGTCTGATGTAGAGCTCGGCAGATCGGGCAGCGGCAGAAGCATGTCCGATAAGCCACCAGAAGCACCATCTCCGTCACTGCCGTCACCTCCGCCGTTAAAGCAACTCTCTCTCCAAGACTGGGAGTCGCTAATCGACGACTTCCAGCACGGCAGCGCACGGCAGCGCACATGGACATCCGCTCAGCCGATACTCCTCTCCCTTCTCGACCAAGCCCTCTCATCCATCGCCAAGCGCGAATTCCCCCTCAAGCTCCACGTCATCACCTTCCTCGAGGAGTTCTCCGACCCGCTCTTTGCCACCGCCATCGCCAACGACGCCGTTTCCGGAAGCAAAGTCCTCCACCGCCTCATCGAAACCCTTCGCGCTCTGATCCAGACACCGGCCGATGGGGTCCACATCACGTTCGCTCTCAAGGAGCAGATGATGCTCTCCGTCACATCCGTCGTCGTCTCTCTCGATGACGACGTGGTGCCGATCTCCACCGTCGAATCGCTGGTGGAGCTGCTTTTAACGGCGATCAACCGTCCCAATCATGGCTTCGACCGTCAGGCTCGTGCGCTGGCGTGCGAGTGCCTTCGAGAGGTGGAGAAAGGTCGGCCCTCTTTGCTCTCCGAAATCGGTGGACATCTCTGGAGCTTGTGCCAGAACGAGAGGACTCACGCCGCTCAGAGCTACATTCTGTTGTTCACCACCGTCGTTCACAATATCGTTGTCGAAAATCTCAGCGTTTCGATTCTCAATACGGCGGTGCCTTTGGTATCGTTCAGCTCACCGCAGAACAGGTCGGGTAAGGAGAGCTTGGGTGGTTTGAATTACAAGGAGTTGTTGAGGGCGATGGGTTTTTTGCTGGAATAGCCGCAAGTGTTGACGCCGTGTGCGATGGTTGAGTTCTTGGCTCTGATAATGCCAATGGCGGCAGCATTGGAGCTCCAAATTTCGAAGCTCAAGGTGCAATTTTTCGGGATGCTTTATTCGTCTGATCCTATGCTCTGCCATATCGTTTTGACCATGTTTCCAAGGTTTTGGGACGCATTTGATGGGCAAGAAGGCAACATTGTGAGGCGGCTTGTGCTGCTGTCCAAAGAATCGCAGCACCACTTGGTTTTTCAATTGCTGGCGGTTCATTGGTTGCTGGGATTTGGTCAGTTGGTGTTGAGAAGGGAAGTAAAGAAAGTGAAGACCATTGTTGATATGGGTTCGAGATTCTATCCGAGTGTGTTCGACCCCCTTGCTTTGAAAGCCTTGAAGCTTGACCTGCTTGCATTTTGCTTCGTTTGTGTTGATGTCTTGAAACCAGAGAAGAGTGTTTTGGGCGAGGATGGTGAGGTGAATGATAAGTTGGTGGTGAGGTTGTTTGAAGATGGACTTGTTTGTGTATCAGCATTCAAATGGTTGCCTCCAGGGAGTACTGAAACTGCAGTGGCATTTCGAACTTTGCATACGTTCTTGATTGGGGCTTCATCTCATTCAGACAATGATCCTTCCACCACTAGAAGTCTCATGGACTCCACCATTTTTAGGAATATGCAGGTAGTTTTCTCTCTTCCTCAGTCTCTATCTATACGTTCTACTACATTTACAAGATATTAGATATGAAATTTTATATTTATGGCTGAGGATACTTTTAGGTTTAGACAACAAATTAGTCCTCCCCTTAGCTTTGAGTTTGAATTGAAATATCAAAATTTTGGAAGGACTACTAGAAGAACCAAATAGTTGTTATTTGCTGATATGATAGTATATGCATTGATGTAATAGTTATATCTAGCAACTAAGAAATTTCGAGATCATCTACCACAATAGTTAGTGTCTAAAATTTGGGAAAAACTGTCGATGCTTCTAAAACTAAATAGTATTGACGTCTAATAAATTGAAATTAGTTGCAGCGGCATTGTTTCTCCTAAAAATATTGGTTTTTCATAGATTTAGGGTGATGGACTTTTTTATATGGTCTTTCATCTTTTAAAAGTATGAAGGATGATGTTTGTGTATTTGAGTTTTCTTTTCGTTTTTCTCTATATCTGATCTCGCTTTGGAAGTATTTGGTCTATTTGATGTTAAATAAAAAGTAGTTGTTAGCTTTCCTGTAACTATTTCTTGTGACTTGGTATGTGACTTGTTAAGTGGTTGAGTGATGTGGATGTATGTCTTGATCAGGCTTAGATGTTAGAATGCTGTGAAGTGATCAGTAAAGATTAATTGACATACATTTAACGTAGCAACAATGTGCCAGAGAAAAAAGGAAATCATTACTATTAGTGTCCGTTTGGCACATCCACCAATGATATTAAAGTTGCTTAATTTCCCCAAGAATCTGATCACAAACATTTGTTAAGCTTTTTATGGTCAAGGAAAAAGTATTTGGGTAAGATACTAAGATTTGCTTCTTTGGTACAATTATTTTTTAGTCTCAACCATGCAATTGCTTCAATGGTCTTTAGTTCAGAGGGAAGTGGGAAAGGTGTTTTCATTCTTTCATCTGTGCCGTTTTTAATGTCTCCAAATGTCTATTTCCAGGGAATGCTGGTGGACCTGTTTTGGAGTGTCGGAGATTGGTTCCGGTGGTAGTTGTTTTGACTGATCGCTTGTTGGGTTGTCAAAGGCACCGTTGGTTGGGAGAGCGCCTGCTTCAGACATTTGATGAGCATTTGCTTCCAAAAGTGAAATTGGATTACAGCTTGGTTTCTTTCTTTCCAATATTTAATAGAATTGCTGAAAGTTATGCAATTCCTCCTCGTGGATTGCTAGAGCTTCTTACCAAGTTCACGGCCTTCCTTGTTGGTAAACATGGCCCATATACAGGACTGAGATCATGGTCCCAGGGAAGCAGAGTTCTTGGCATCTGTCGAACCTTGTTGATGCATCACAAGAGCTCTCGATTGTTCCTTAGATTGTCTCGCCTTTTGGCATTTACTTGCCTTTACTTTCCTGATTTGGAGGCTCGTGACAATGCAAGGTATGATTAATAAACTTTCTTTTTCTCTTCTTGACTTTTGCTTTAGGAATCTTACCCTTTCTTTTTGTATGGGAACTTTATACAATTTTAGTAAGCTTGGCAATAGCCACAATTAGTTGATGTTGGTTCGTTATGGTCTTTCTGTAGGATCTACCTTCGGCTTCTGATCTGCGTGCCGGGAAAGAAGCTCAGGGACCTGCTGAGTCTTGGGGAAGAACTCAGTATTTCACCATCGTCACATTCCATTTTCAATGTCCAGGCTCCTCACTTTTGTCAGAGTCTCAAGAAGTCTAAGACCATCTCCTCATATGTCCACCTTGAGCGAGTAATCCCCCTACTAGTCAAACAGTCTTGGTCCTTGTCTTTATCAACTCTGGGTATTGGAAGTAACGATCCTGGTTACTTAGAAGGCATCAGGGACATTGAACCCATAGTAGAGGATAGTGATATTGATGACAGTAGTAATGTCCAGATTACACCAGAAGCTCAAAGAATTGATGACAATGGTAATGTCCAAATTATCCCTGAAGATCGAAGAATTGATCGACCACCGGAGCCATTGCATGTGACAGATTCAAATATTTCAGAGATATTAAGAACATTGAGGACGCATTTCTCATGCATTCCTGATTCTAGACATATGCCAGGAATTAAGGTTAGACTATCATGTAGTTTGAGGTTTGAATCTGAGCCTTTCAATCGAATATGGGGAGTTGATTCCCCTGCCTGTTGTTCGAATGAATTAGATACCCTTCCTGCTCTATATGCAACAGTGCTAAAATTTTCGTCCTCTGCAGCATACGGGTCCATTTCGTCATATCATATACCTTTTCTTCTAGGTGAGCTTCCCGGTAAAACAAATATACGTGATCAGACCGCCTCATTAGCTATTGTTCCTGTAGAAAATGGTTGTGGGAAAGAGGAAAGTTATAGAGCTTGTGTAACGATTGAATTGGAACCACGGGAACCCACGCCAGGTCTGATTGATGTTTCAATTGAGACAAGTGCTGAAAATGGTCAGATAATCAGGGGACAGCTTCACACACTCACTGTGGGCATAGAGGATAT